AAAGAGAAGTGTTTTGCCTTCCGCCTTGCTTCGTTGATGTATCCGACGAGTGGATATCAATGCTCGACCCGATGCGGAGACGCCCAAAGGATCTATGGACACGGATTTCAGGCTGACTCTGGCGGTACAACTGCTCGGTAGGGCCACGGTCAGCAAATCAAATAATATCAAAAGCCAGAAAGCTGACAAGCCGATGGATGGGTGCCATGAGGACGGCCACGTCAGCGTTGTCGGTGGCTAGTATGACCCGTTGGTAGTCGGGATGTCGCAGATCCTAGATGCAGCCGTAGGGGTAGCACTGCGATGTGGAAACAAATAGCAAGTGTTAAAACCTGGAAATATACGGTGCGGAGTGGGTCATTATACTCGCCCTAAGCCCAACTCAAGTTCAGGCGGAGAATTAGATACCACGCAGTTATTGTGGCAGTATCTAGTTACCCAGGAATGAAGGGAGCGCGGAACGTGTTGCTGCAAAGGAATTTGAGGTAAGATTACGATATTCCATAGGCGTTTGGGCCACGCTGGGAACGCGAGGCTGTTGGGCCTGCAAACTCCATAAAGCACCTTGGAAGTGCTGGTGCGCGTCGAAGTCAAGTGTGCCCCCATCATTCCCCCAAATAATATCCAGTGCGGGCGGCTGTGGATCAACCAGGCTCAGACTTGAGATGAATCAAATAGCAACGTCTCCGTACCAACCCACTGCGGCCATGTACCCTATACCCACCTATACTTACGGGTCAGCCTCATCTGATAAAAAATGCGTTGTCTGGGAGAGCAATTGCAAATACTTCCTGCAATGTTGAGTACGCTCTCGACGTTGCTGCACCCTGGCACGTTGATCAGCAATTCAAACGTGGCTGCTAGTCGATCACCCCAGTGGAGGCAAGGCTGAAGAAAACAAGACAAATCTGAGCCTGCTCAGAACAACTAGTTTGCGTCCGACGCCGCCAGGCAGTCTAAGCAAGAAGCGAAGGAAGATAGTCACTCAACTAGCAGGTAGACAGTCAGAGGGGGTCGAACGTTGATCGATGCATTATTGACTCTGTGCATGTCGTTACATGAAAACCTTGGATCCATGCATCAACTAAGCAATAACAGGGCTCGCCCATTGCACCTCGTGCCAGTATTACTAGATGAAACTCATGGGTAACAAAACAGGGTCCACCAGGGTAGAATACAGAAAAATATACAATGTGTCCGACGTACTCAGAACTTCTAAGCGTTCCATAAACTCAGCTCAGAGTTACCACGGCGCAGAAGATACAACTATGATCAGACCGTAAACAAGCGCCATTCTCCACGACACGCGGGGGGCAACATGAGGTTCGCCTGACCCTATTGGCTGTAGGAAGGGTGGAGTGTCCGCGATGTTGGTGTCTGTAGAAGCAGCTGAGGATATGCTAGTCGCAGTCGTGCTAGTTCGAGTAGCAGACGAGGATGAGGATGCTGGAGACCCAGAGGGAGATGGGGTAGAAACACTGCTCGTGTAGGTACGAATGTATGAAATATCCCAGTAGGCAGTGTCGTAAAGCGGGCTTCCTGGACCAACAACACAGTCGTTATACTTGACACAGGTCCATCGTCAGTTTGTGGTACCCCTCTACCAGGAAGATTTTTCTTACACATAACCCTGTTGGACCAGAGCTCCCACATGTCGGGTCATAATCCCAGCTCAAACCCGCCCTATATCTCAGAAATACTTTCAGAAGACTAAATATGGGGAGCCAGCAACAGCACTCACCAATCACCACACAGAGTAATGTCGAGCACGAGATTTTGAGGTGTGAAAAATGCAATCATATTGCAAGTCGAGGAAGAAAAATTTGCGTGAGGAGTTCCCCAGTCTGATAAATCGAGCGACGAAGTAGACGTGGCTTGGCTTATAGACAGTGGAATGTCTGGTCGCTATCATTGACCATGGAACACCTCATCACCATAAGTTGCATCACGAAGATCTAGAGAACCTACACTCCAGAACCAGATACTGATTTCAAAGTAGTCAGGAGTGGTTGGATGTCGCATTAATTCAAATACCCACTAAATGCCTGTAGTGTCGAATCTTGTTGCCCAAACTCCACCCCCAGAAGCAGCAAATCCGCTTTGGAAACTGTTTGGCGAAGGTTTCTATCACGGTGCACCCCGACGGCTGGGAACAATCGGTAGTTGGTCCGTTTGTGCCGAGCTGACCAACCGATCCCGAGTGTGTACAACCCGCCGTAGTGTGAATTGCCATCTGATTATACGTCATGAGATTGATGCCTTCTATTATATCGATCTCGCCATCGTCGGGCCATTTTGGACCTGTACATCCGTCAAACAAGCCCTTGACCCAGCAGGTGGTTAGCGCACCGAAGCTCCAAAATGCTGGCCACACCTAGGAAAATAATAAGAATGTGACGCTTCCCAGATGCGAGATGACCGTCACCGAACAACCGTAAGGGATATGGTTTACATCTATGAGCCACAAACTGCCAAGTTCATATGCGTCTTGAGTTGTTATTCGTACCTAAAACGAGCAGTGAACAAGCTGAGATGTCAAAAGGTGTAGACTAACGGAGTTTCGTTCTTGGCCATATGTCACGTTGGTCGTGTTGTCCACCTTGAGGATGACGTGGCCTTGGTTATTCACATATGCAAGCCCCTGGCTAATGGCATCTGTTTCGGAGAGCCAGGTGACATTGCCTTGACATGAGAGTGAGCCCAATTGCGAAGCAAAAGGAGCTGTCATACCAAGTGTCAGGTTGTCGGGGGCGCCGTAAAAATCCCATCCATCAAAGAAGGTACTCCCAGAGTACTCTCGAATGACGTCGTACGCAGAACCAGTGGAAGCAAGGAGAGCGAATATGCTGAAAAAGACCAGCCCGACCATCGTTCAATAATGATGACTGGTTTTCCAGTCGCCCAATTTATTGGCCGATAGGCCATGCGCAAGGGCGAATGGGGAACGGGGACCGACGAAGCACGAGTCGACAACGTGGCCATAATATCATGTTCACGCTGCATGGGCTAGAACTATCGCTCTAGCACTCTCCGTTCGAAGTCTCCCTGCCACTGGGTGTTTCACTAAGGCGCTTTCACCGGAGAATCCATTGCGAACTTGATCATTGATGCGAACTGCCCAGGCAAGGCTTGATGCAGTACATATAGATCATAATATCACAGCTATGGTAAGCAAACAAATGTCTTATTGCAATGACCTGTAATTCAAGTACTGCCATCTGATCATGATGCAGATGATACATGATGCATGGTGGCTGATCTGACTGATTCGCGAGTCGGGAGCCGCCTTCAGAGCGGGATTTTATCGTAGGTCAGTGCACTCGCATTGGAAATCCGCAAAGGCTGATCGGTTTGATAGAACTTGATGCCGGTTGGTGCAAGGTCACCTTTACAATAAATATGCCTCCTGTTGCCCATGATAATTCCGAACAGCTCCGCACTCGAAGCCAAAGACGACATGGAGAAGAATCAAAATCGCCTTGTAAACCAACTACAAGCCGTTCATGCACGGCAGCAAAAAGTCATCCTGCAACTTCAAGCGGACAATACAAGGTTGTTGAGCGATCTAGGAGAGATTCGTCGGGAGAGGGATAATTTCCGAGCGGAGGTGGCGCGGTTTCGGAGAGGGCATACAGATATACAGAACTGTCTCGACGAGCTATCGTCGGATTATCACGATCTCAAACGTGAGCATGCGAACCTGGTGCGCTCATTTAACTCAGCAAGCATGCACGTGGGGCGGCCTCTGAGAACGTTGTCCAGTAAGGTGGGTGGCTTCTGCGGGCCCGGGTGACGGGCCTCTATCCTTAATTTCCTCTCTGCAGTCAGTGCTCCCGCTCTCTGTTCTCAGCGAAGGGGACGTCAAACAAGATCCATCCCTACCAAACGTCGACGGTCCCTTTGTGAGTCACTCTTTTCCGGTTTTTCATGCCGAACTCAGTCACAGCATCTACAGGACACATTTCGACCTCTTCCAAACCATCTGAAAGTAGACTCTGAGTTACCAGGTCCTCCCAAAGATAATACCACCTCGGCACTGGGAAGGTCGCTCAGCGATGCGAGCATAACAACGCGGATCACCTCAGCGTATCATTCAGCGACGTACTAGACTTGTTTCTTGTTTATATGAGTAGCTGAGCTCCAAGTCACTGTAGAAATTAAGTGTAGAGCTCTTACATAAGTATGGTTCTATCGTGTGAAGTTGTAAGCCTTCTTATCCGAACCGAAGATGGGTTTGCCATTTCATCACAACGCAGTACAACCCCTGCATTTACCCAGGAGAGATAGGAGGAATGTCGCAAGCAGCATTGTTACAAGAGACGGAATCTCTGCTTCAATACTCGGAGCCCAGAGAATACAGCAATGAAAGCACCGCTCCCGACATTCGTGACGCTGCAACCAGTTGGTGCAAGGATTGTACATGCTAAAGATTGATCCTGCTGAGTTCTACATAGCCATTCCAACCAAAGACTTTAGTGACACCCGTAGACAGCAGTTAGGTATGTGCACGAGTCTTCTGATTCAAGTGCTAAATAACCTGTTGCAGGGCTGCTGAGTGCTGTCTCCCTTATCTTCAACAGGATCATCGGTACCGGGTGCGCCATCCTCTGTTCCAAAAATCAGTGATTTCTAATGTGTATCGTAGTGTTTTTGCGGCACCGAGCGTAATTCTCAAGTCCTCCGGCAGCGTCGGACTCACCTTTGTGATGTGGATTATTGGGGCTTTGGTTTCAGCCGCTGGAACTGCCGTATATGTTGAGTTCGGAACGGTAATCAATCTCTTTGAGGGATGATTCGATTATGTTGAAGTCGTCCTGTATAGGGTTTACCCCGGAATGGCGGGGAAAAGACTTACTTGGAATACATTTATCGTCGTCCTGCATTCCTGATGTCCTGCGTATATGCGTCATATGGAATTCTCTTGGTACGTAGATTATGATGCTAGTCGACGTCTCACCTGATTCTTGCCTTAGGGTCAGGTGCCAGCCGCTAGCGTCGCTTTTGGAGGATGTAAGCTACCCGACATACTCCAGTGAAGGTCAGGTATCTAATGTGATTCTACGCAGATGTAATACACGCACTGGGTTGCGAACAAACCGCCGTTCATGTCCGTACCGTTGCTTGCCTGTGTATCATTCTCTGCCTTTTCGTCCATGGCGTTTTCCCCACCATCGGTATCAAGCTACAAGATACCTTAGGCGTATTTAAGTTAGCCATTCTATTGCTAATTTCTGTATCAGGTCTCTTTAGTTTAGTGGGGATGCCTGGATTTTCAGTTGGAGAAGTGTATGACCAACCTCACAACTTCGGGTGGACAACATTTTGGGAAGGATCAAGTATGAGCGCCAACGCTTTCACTAATGGCGTATATCTTGTAATCTGGTAAGCATACGGTGAGGTAGCAGTGGACTGTGGCTCACCGCGGCAGTTGCATAGGTCTTTTATTGGCTATTCGAACGCCAACTATGCGCTGTCCGAAGTCCGGAATCCCATTCAGACCATCCAGCGTGCTGCCCCCCTTGCAATGCTCTTGGTGACAACGGTGTATGTTCTTGTGAACATTGCTTATTATGCCGTGGTGTCAAAAGGAGATATATTGGAGAGTGGAACTATCGCAGCGTATGTGCTGCCGAACATCTTAAGTAAGTATTACAATGGCTAAGGTCTATTCTACAGGGCTCTGTTCTTCAGAAATCTTTTTGGTCCGGCGACTGAGCGGGTGAGTATGTCGCAGTTCCGGCGATCGTAATGTTTATATTTGCCAAGGTCCTCAGTGCAGTGATCGGTTTATCTATCTTTGGAAACATTCTGGCAGTTTTGTTCTCTCAGGGACGAGGTCCGCGTGTTTCATCTTTTCCTTGACAGTCTTTTTATGTGGCCCCCAGTGAATCAGGAGCTAGGGCGTGAAGGTATCCTGCCATGCTCGCAACTCCTAGCGAGCAACGAACCGTTCGATGCACCCCTTTTTGGCTTGTTCATCCAGTCTCTGGTTTCTATCCTTACGATACTGTTGACACCAGCTGGAGATGCATATACCTTCGTCGTGAATTGTATGGGTCCCCAGTTTCTCTCTTCTCTCATTTTCCTTACTCATACCCGTGAACAGTCACTTCCTACCCCCTTGCGCTGTTCAACTTGTTAATCTCGGGCGGCCTGCTGCTCTTGTATACCCGACCAAACAAATCGTACGACTGGAATCCCCCATTCCGAGCCCCGAAATATGTTGTTATCTTCTTTTTCCTCTCCAACGTATTTCTCGTGGTCGTCCCGATAATACCTCCATCCCGTGGGTATGAGGTCTATGAGAACTTACCCTATTATGTGAGTAACGTGAACGAGTATATAGTACGTTATTTTGAACCTTTACCCGCCATAGTCTCATGTCGTAGCGGCTATGGCGATCGGACTGGCCGGAGTGCTTTACTGGTTTTTGTGCTTCGAGTGGTTACCCCGGAGGAGCGGACACAGGTTACAACAAGATGTCATTACAGAGGCAAACGGCCGCACGCGACAAGTATTCAGACGGATACCCGTACGTTCGGAGTGATGTCGTGGAACTCGTTAGATTAGACTATACCCCGCAGACTCCTTTCAGGCCACAACCCCTTTCACACTTCTACCTTGGTATGATTCCCTTGGCTCAATGCACCAGTGTAGCTGTAGCCCGCCTCTTGCCGTCCACAGAACTGTTAACATGTGGCATGATCAGTGTGTCCTCGCGAGGCGAAATGAGATGAATATCGGTAAGCTTGGCGACCTTCCTCCCAACACTTACCTGTGTCTCTTTCTGGGGTCTCTTATCGCTTTTCGACTCAAACTCCGCGAGTAACTGCAAGACACCCTGATACGTAGCCCAAGAATACTGTTCACGCAACAGGGCATTTCCAGGTGTTCGATCCCCTCTGAACCCCCGTCGATACCTCATTGCATATAGGACTTCAAGGTACCTTCATCTGCGATGATCGCCTGAACGTATCTCAACATAAGAAGTAGCAATTGGTAGCGTATATTCTCTTGGGTGCTTTTTTAGTGGTACAGCGATCATTAATCATTCTTGGCCAGATTGCAGGGATGATTTCCAAAATATTCGAGCACCCTTTTGATCTCGTCAAAGTAAGGCTCCAATCCCAGGTACTAGATCCACCCGCGCGCTTCAACGGACACATGGATTGTCTGCTGCGATGGTATTCGATACCCAGCAGTGGCCAGTTAGTTTATGTAAGTGTAGGTCCGACCAATGCCGGTGGCTCTCTTTCGGCAACTCTGTAGTTCATGCTTATGTAAAGAAAGTTCCGCCCACAGTCCTCGGTCGCACATATGCATCGAGGTCCAGGATAAAATCCACTCTCGACCTGGTCCCCGGCTCGCGGCGACTCTTAACTATGGAGAGGCGCGCTCGGAGTACCAAAAAGCAGAAACGAAGATGTCTTCCACGGTCGAATGGTACCGGAAGGAAGTGGCCACCTTCGAGACACGAGTGACTGGTCGCGTAACGCCTAGTTTGCTTGCTCCCGTAAGAGTGGAGGTTTATGGGAAAGGTAACGACCCCGACAAATTAGAGCAAATTGCCACAGTTGGTATCAAGGATATTCGACGAAAATGTGCGTTGATGCTTCTCTGTGCAAGGAAGTCCATGTCCTCATCCTCATCGACAACTTAGTAGAATATGAGAGTTGTCGAGCGGTATGTAGTGCCAAATTACCTGGAATTGTTCCTTGGAGACCGGAGACCAGCACCGTTAGAATTCCTATACTCAAGTAACTCAGCTTCCCTTGCACTATCCTACGTATTGCTGACCAACCTTCGAAGGCTCACATTCAGGTAAGGCGCGTTCATCGACCTAGCGTTAAGAAAGGCAAATACAAGAAGCGCTCTACCGAGCTTGGTTCGTTTGAAATTGCTGGGCCTACTGTGATGACAGCGTGCTAGCTGGCCATAGTTCCGAAGACTGGCTGATATGAACGTCGCCGAGGTAAACAAGATCCTGGCAGATATGAAGAAGATAGGGTCCCTATGGGCGATTGACTAGACTTGCAAGTTTGGACATCGCATAAACGACCATTTCCGTCGATCATAACATAAATTTTCAGCTCACTTTGCTCCGACGGTCCATGAACAATGATGCAAGTATGAAGGCGTCAACATCAATACACCGACGCATCCGTGATTATGGCTCTGCAAGTTGATATACTTCCATGCCGTAACATGTAAGAGTACAATCGCCATCGCTGGGTCGCTTTCCCAGTAATGGCGCGTTGATGACTGCCACTGGATAAACCGAGTCCTCAAGCGTCACTGAGCCGTCGTATCGCATTTCACCGTCAATTACGGCGAGACAGGACGACGCGAATTGCCAGATTCCTACGTCACCCGCCACATGCATAATTAGATTGAGGAAGATGGTTAGATGTACATACTACCTGGTGTGTCGTAATGCATTCTTGACGTTGAACTTATCTCATTAACCACATCGCATGATCAACAAGTCTGACAGTTTAATTCCAGGATTCCACTGAAATATCATTGTTCAATAGTATGGCATCGCCTCGCTTCGAACGTGCACAACTCATTTTACTTTCTGAGGCCGTCATCAAAGCGTGGATTGAGGGTGTTGTACTGCGGCAACCATGCCGCCATGTAATCGACTATCTCTCCGTATGCCAAGATCCATTCCTTCGGCTACGTTACTGCCAGGTGTATTCTAGAAAGGGTAATACGCCTTGCGAAGGCCAGGAGACTCTGGCATCAATCAAGGTATGAATACACGGACAAGATCACTCAATTTGAGCATAGCTTACCACCGTAGTACGTCCTGCCTCCCAACCAGTCTACCTTTCACTCGCCTCACACGGGGTCCCAGCAGCTCTCGTTCTGCAGATGGGTCTGTTAGATATATTTCGCTGGTCTAGGAAGACGACTACCATTTTGCCGACGGATATCGTAGTATTGTGAGTACACTGATACTACCTTCAGGACCCAGCAATATTGAAATTGCAAGTAGCATTGTAGGTCCTTCTGGCTCAGGGAAGAGTTGGGTAATATCAGCTCTTATCCTAGTCCAAGCTATCCCTCATCCTACGTTCCCCTGTATTCTACCTTAGCTTTTGAGCATTCTTTTGAAGATGGCAAACACTCACGTTCCGGTCAACAGAGGCCAGAAGCCCTGCACTACAAAGGTCCACGCAGAAAGATGCCACTTTGAAGGAATGCAGGGTGACATAATCCTTGTGGATACGCCGTCCTTTTACACATACATACGCCCAGATGGGGAGAAGACCGTGAAAAAGTGGATAGATTCAAAGTGAGATATATATTACGGCTTCGTTGCTTAGGGTTGGGACTGACCTATCGAGCCAGCTATATACAGCCCAAAGGAGCCGGAATCTTGTACATGCATAACATTGCATCGAACCCACTTGATCCAAACTTGGAGGTCTCGAGGCATTTCAGTGCTTTCCGACGCACATGCCCCCAAGGTCACGCACCCAGTGTTGCTCGCGTTGTTCCGACCGTCGCTTTGGGGTCAACGTTATCTGCTGAGAAGATTAATACATCGATGACACGACTGCGGTATCAGGCAGATAGTATAGGTGCGTCAATACTTGGGATGCCGTTCGACGGAAAACCCGGGACGGCGTGGGACGTCGTGCAGGAACTATTAAATGAGATTATGAGATATGGCGGTGACAATCAAAGGGGTGAGTGAGACGGAGAGTGTCATATTTGCTTCTGGAGTCCTTGTTTGTACACTAGCATAGTATTTTTATCATGTGTAATATCCGTGTCAACCATTGCACTGGAGATGGGAGGTGGGAACAGTAAGTACGGGGAATACCTTATGAGACGGCCACCCAAGATAACAAGTCCCGCGTATCCAAAAGCAATCAGTCACAGCTTCTAGCTCTCGGCCGGTGACACTCTGACTACGGCGGCGGCGACAACATGCCACTTACTAAGACCATTACTTATTTTATGCTACAGTGTATATTCCTGAACCGGTAGTACGCACTGGAAAGGTCCTGGTCAGGAGTGGAGTCTACCATCAATCTGAGATGCTATCGACACCATTCTGTAGTTCACACATGCGTCTTATCATCAGCACGAGTGTTTGTTCTCGCGTGTAGAGCTGAACGTGAACCTTGAAGCAAACATATTTGATGATAGCTCATAGCTGTATCTCCGTGTAGACGATACCATATAACTGGAGTCCAAGCTTAGACCAATCTCCTATCCAACCTCCACTCGGCCCAGGCGAAACCCAGGAACTGCTGTCTGTTTTTCGCAAGATGATGCGTCTGATTGATAGGTTTCGCGGGTCGAAAAAGACGACTGCCATTTTATCGACAGATATCGTCTTGTTGTAAGTGCGCTAACATCATCTTCTGAAGTTACATTGAACACTTTGTTAGTATTGTAGGACCTTCCGGCGCAGGAAAGGGTCGGGTAATACTAGTTCGTACCACACTCAATGCTATCGCTTATTTCGCATTCGTCCGCCCCAGTTTTATGGATATCCTCTTGCAAAGTGCAAACGTTCAAGCCGTTCGTGCCAACAAAGGCCAGAAACCTGGCACCACGGAAGTTTATGCAGAGCGGTGCCGTTTCGAAGGAATGCAGAGCGAAATTGTCCCTGTGGACACGCATCTTTTTACACTTATGAAAACTTTGACGGGGAAGAAACTGTGAAAAAGTGGATGGACTTAAAGCGAGACATGTTATTTCGTTCCGTGCGCTATCTGGCCACAGATATACAAAACAGTGCAGAAAAGCTGGAACCTTATACTTGCATAAACGTTGCATCGAACCCACTTGATGCAAACTCACAGATCTCGAAGCATCTTGGAGCTTTCAGGTGCACGCATCCTCGAAATCTCACACCCAACACCGTTCACGTCGTTCCGACTGTGGCTTCTGGGGCAAGGTTACCTGCAGAGCGTATCAGTGCATTAACAATACAACTCAACCACCAGGCAGTTAATGTGGTGCATCAATGCTTGACACGCCGTTTGACGAAGGACCCAAGACGGCGTGGGATATTGTGCAGGGACTCTTAAACCGGCTGGAGTCGCAAAACTAAATGTGTAGGAAATGGGAAAAGTCTAGCTGGCATTCAGAACGCACACCATGTCTTTACGAATAGCTGCTTACCCGATAGCATGCTGGAAGCTGACAGAGGATATTTTACATTGTCTGTAGCCGAGTCATTGTCGACCGTGCTAACAATAGTTGTAGTGATGTAGCATTCAGTAAAGAGAAGTTGCACGGAAATAATATGCCAGTGAAAGAGTCATGTACACCAAACTGATATATGCAATATTTTATGGAGGACATCGACTCCGGATGTCTTCAGCTACAGTTAGCATGGGTAGGTCCTCGCACGTACTCGGAGGATAACACACACGAGCTGCATCGTATTTGCGCAGGAGGAGATAATACAAGCATCGGTGGATTGGGGGACCTGTCGTGCTTTCATCGACTTCCTTTGGGCGACATTTCGGATGATTCCCTGCACGTCGTTCATTCCGGGCTAAGGCGCATGAGAGATTATCATGCAGTACTGTTCTATCTAATAACACCAGTCAATACGATGTATGACTCCCTATCGTTCCTCGATCACCAACTCTGAATAATCGAAGTGAACACTTCCTAGGATGATTGCGGCCTATAGCTTACATCTTCCAGGAGTTGCTGCAAAACGCTCCATGCTTTCTCCGGTTGGCCTGCGAATACTTCAGGGAGTAAAGTTTTGCTGTCAAGCTCACAGGCTGGCTCCTTCGTCGGCACCACACGGACGCGGGATGGCACCTTGAAAGTAACAGGAACACCGCTATGAACGTCTCGAGACGCCGCACTATCGACATATCACCGTGTGGCAGATATCTGGCGAGTGTGTGGAGGGGGATGATACCAAAGTAGCGGTATTTTTTAGTCAGCCTGAAATGGTATTTGAATCGGTTCGAAGGCGTAATGGGCTCTTGTCTTGACCCCGTTTGGCCTACCGTACTGTGAACGAGGTTCACCTGATTCTTGATGATAGTGTGTTCCACTATTCACAATACCACAAAGTCATATTCGGTGATTTTTGACGTGGTGGGGGCGCCTCTGAAACTGGAGAGCAGGTCCTGAAAGAGCGGCATTGGCTACCCGCGGGGTGGAGAGTGGTGTCAATAGGAATCACAGCACATTTCAGCAAACTTCGTGCGTGTCGTTAGGGGATCCTTTCATGACGTCAAATACAACAAAAATTTGAACGTGACAGATGATCTCGACTCGACCGGTCGGAATGGAATTCAAAATGACTGCGCTGGATGGTTGGTTTGGCTCCCCGATATGGCAAAGGCTAAGTATGATTCCGGGCAGGTAGAAACGTTGCAAGTATCCAAATAATTTCGTTCGATTCGATCAAGCACATTGCAAACATGCGTTCAAGCTGCAATTTATGCCGCCTTGCAGCCTCGTTCCCTGCGCGCTTCATTTGGTGGGGAGGGTTTCGGCATCTCGTCTACTCAAGGCTTTCTCATTTTCCTCCTCCCGTATCAACTACTTTCACTCAAAGAGTTGCTCAATACCCTGGTGAGTCCGAATCTCTGTACACTCATGTTCAATTGTGCTGATTCTACATGTGTATATGCATGCTTCACGCTCATCTCCCATCATTTCTTGTCTAAACTTCCACTAACCCTATCGAAGAAGGATGTCAGCAACAGGCGATAACCAGCCAAGCAATGTGTATGCGTCGGGTGGTGACACCTCAATGTCTGTCAGGTACCCACGGCCGGTTTCCCGTACTTTTTATTTACTGATGTTCCGGCGTGTCAGCCCCGCACGAGATTTGAACAGTGCTCGACCAGCAAGCGGTGGAGGGGCTTCGACCAACGGGGATATAAACACTTGGACCAACGAGGGAGTACACGCTTCGACCAACAGGGGAGTAAACGCTTCAACCAACGAGGGAGTACACGCTTCGACCAACGGGGGAGTAAACGCTTCAACCAACGAGGGAGTACACGCTTCGACCAACGGGGGAGTAAACGCTTCAACCAACGAGGGAGTACACGCTTCGACCAACGGGGGAGTAGACACTTCGGCTGGTGAGAAAGAAGGCCCGACCAGCGAGGAAGATGCCTCGACGACACCACCGGAGTACAAACGCCAAAAAGATGATACGGGGATAACGAACACAAAGGATATTATAATTGCGTGAGTAAGGTCACATGTTTTGTACATCACCTCATTCGTCCCCCTTTACTGCCAGAATAATGGGGCCAACCGGCGCTGGGAAAAGTTCGGTGAGTTCTTTATGGGATATGTGCTTAGCATAACTTCACAATGTGTAGTTCATAGACAAAGCCACGGAAAGTACGGGCAAGGGTGTTGGGCATGACTTACGGTCGTGCACAAGCGAGATCAAGGTTACTAGGTGTGCGGTTGAAAGATCTAACGTGGTTCTAGTAGACACTCCCGGGTTCGATGATACGACGAAATCCGACTTGGAAATCCTGGAAATGATATCTAACTGGCTGAACCAAGAGTGAGTATTCCCAGTATTCTCCCTACTTCTTCTATGAATCCCGAGGATCCCTTAAGATACCAGACGGGGACCATGCTTTCGGCCATTCTTTACTTTCATCGCATATCGGACAATCGCATGGCTGGAACCCCACTGAAGAACCTTCGAGTCTTCCAAAAGTTATGCGGGAAAAACGCTATGCCTAAGGTTGTCTTGGTCACCACTATGTGGGATGAAGTGGATGACGAAGTCGGCGAGCAGAGGCTGGCAGAGCTCCAAGATAGTTATTGGAAGGCGATGATGTCGCGAGGGTCCACGACGAGAAAGTATCTGAACACTCGAGAGTCAGCCGTGGAATTACTTGGGTTCATTGTACAGCAGGAGAGAGCGCAAGAGGGAGTCCGGCTGCAAGAGGAAATTTCGGACATGAATTTGGAGTTACGTGAGACTGCCGCCGGGCGCGTGTTGTGTTCTACTCTGGAGGATCTCGCAAAGAAGCGGATGGAGGCCCTTCGAAGAATTCAAGCAGAGAACAAAGGAGCGGACGAGAAGACTTCAGAAGACCTCTGGAAAGAATACGCTCAAGTGAAGGCTCAACTCGATTCTGCTTTGACCGAGGCGAGAGCATTGAGGATGTCGCTCAGGCAACGCTTAAACAAAGGCATTCGCGCAGCGTGGAGAAGTGAGTTAATTGTCCCTCCCGTTACGGCAGTGTAAACTTCTGCGTTCCTTACAGGAATGGGTGAAATGAAACCCAAGAGTCGAAAATCTGGGATGCGGCAGGCGGATTCATAATACTTTTTGCACCTGTGGCCCGATTGTTTTTGGGTACCATATTCCACTCTATTATATTGACCGACCTCAAACTATCGCGTCGTATAAAAGATCTTCGAGTGGATTGACACAAGGACGGTGGAATAATATTCACTGCGGAAACAAGATTCTTTCAATACAGTAATTAGATCGTGCTAGAGTAGCTGCCCATACTAAAAACATATGTCAGGAAAATGTCAGATTGCTTATTTAGACTTTAGTATACTTACAAGACTTATATGTTTAGGCTCTGAATGGCAGCAACATTTCTGCTTCTTTGTGCAAAACATATGCAAACCAAGTCTGTGTGGAGTTCAGCAGACTTTGAAGTTGATAAGCGCAGACTGTCTGACTGCAGTATTATTAGTGAGGTGGATATGGGATAAGTCATGGGTTTGCATGTTACCTCAATGAAGAGACCTTCATCATTACAAGCAAGATTGTCCCCAATACCCACCAGCCTGCCAATCACTTTGACTTTGCAACAAGATGGTAGGTAAGGGCAGAAGGGATAAAAACAAAAAAACGTTACTGCAGAGTTGGAAAGCCCAAATTTTTGTGCTTGTCCTGAGCACTGAGGAATTTCACTACACTGCAGCTCATCAGTGGACTATCCAAGCTGTATATACACCCAATGACTTTAGGGCAGGCTTATCACTTATCTATGGTTGTGTCATAGGTGATGTCACCCACTATAACTTAATATAGGTTAGACTATCACACATGAGAAGGCAGTTAGCAACCATCCAATAGGATTAAAGGCACATACATCGCCAATGATTGCCGTCCCTGTGACTCCCACAGGTTGTCAAAATAAGGTTTGATTTTGAAATGGTTTAGAAAAACCAGATCATTCCTTCAGGGTTCTGCTGTGGTTATCCAGGAATATCTCCATTCCTAATAATCTACTTCCTGGACCCTGCGCAGAGTCCAGCGCATTAGGGGCTGTTGCATGCATGCGTCAATAGGGGCTGTTGCATGCATGCGTCAATAGGGGCTGTTGCATGCATGCGTCAATAGGGGCTGTTGCATGCATGCGTCAATAGGGGCTGTTGCATGCATGCGTCAATAGGGGCTGTTGCATGCATGCGTCAATAGGGGCTGTTGCATGCATGCGTCAATAGGGGCTGTTGCATGCATGCGTCAATAGGGGCTGTTGCATGCATGCGTCAATAGGGGCTGTTGCATGCATGCGTCAATAGGGGCTGTTGCATGCATGCGTCAATAGGGGCTGTTGCATGCATGCGTCAATAGGGGCTGTTGCATGCATGCGTCAATAGGGGCTGTTGCATGCATGCATGCGTCAATAGGGGCTGTTGCATGCATGCGTCAATAGGGGCTGTTGCATGCATGCGTCAATAGGGGCTGTTGCATGCATGCATCAATAGGGGCTGTTGCATGCATGCGTCAATAGGGGCTGTTGCATGCATGTGCCAATAGGGGCTGTTGCATGCATGTGTCAATAGGGGCTGTTGCATGCATGCATCAATAGGGGTTGTCACATGCATGTGAACTAGGGGCATCACATGGATGCACCAGTTGAATAGCACAAGGTGGCAAGCAACCACAAAATAAGCAACCGGTCACTTATCACACATGGCACTGGGAATTGAGAAAGGGGACTTGAATTCTTTGTCAAATCCATTGCTCAATGTGGAAAATGGCTAACCATATGGAGTAATCCCAATGGGGATGAAGCTAAATAAGGAATCAATATAAAGAAAGAGACACTGTGGGAAATTTGCTCTTTTGCATCTTGCCCTCTAACCACCACCATCATGCCTGTCTGTCCCACTTGCCAAGAAACCATCCCCAGCAAAAAGGACTATAGCACCCACACCAAGAAGTGTTTCCAAGAGACTACCATCCATCTGGCTGATACTAACCAAACCATCCATTTGAAAAGAGAGGAGAATGGCAACTTCATTTGTCATTGCTCTCACAGGAGTTGTCCAAGGCCATTCAAGTATGCTAACAGTCTCAGGGTTCATATCCAGAGGGCTGGAACTAGGTGGATGGGACCTGGGATTAAGGTGAGTGGTGTGAAATCATTCCCTTATTTAGTAATTCAATCCTAATGTGAGCAGCAGGACAACTCACCCATGCAACAAAAACTTGACTTTGTAAGTAACATAATCGCAGTGAAATAAGCAGCCGGTTGCTTATGTGCTCATCACAGCCCCATGGACCAGGTGTTGAAGCTGGGTCCAGCAAAGGAAGGGCAAGCATTGACTTGGTGAGCAGTTGTATGGCAGTGAAATAAGCATCCAGTTGCTTACTCTGCTCATGGCAGACCCATGGACAAGGTCCTGAACCTCAACCCAGCAAGGCAAAAAGAAGCATGGTGTGTGATTTAGTGACAATGGACTGGGTGACAGACCACTTACATTTCTGTGACAGGAGCATGCAAAGGATAATGTGTTCATCCCAGGTGCTGGTCCTAGCATGAGCAGGGCCATCATGGACTTGGTGAGTAGCCTACATTTTGGGCAAATAAGTGACCGGTCACCTATTCTGACCATTGACAATGTCATTCATTATAGGAGGACCATGATAGCATTGAGGATTACACAGATGAGGTGAGCACCATAAGATTACCATCAGTGAGAGCAAGGCAGTGACAAGCATAACACTAGTCATCATCTGAGGACACCAGCAGATCATCAGTCAGTAGATGATACATCCTTGCCACAAATACATACAGCACTGACCAAGGGAAACAGATATCCCATGATTTGGGTAGCATCCCATCTCCCCCACGACCTCATGGTTGGTTGGTTCAACAAGACCACATAATGCGTTCACCCACACCACCTGAGCCACCAACTAACACAATGGTAACTCCCCAGGGCTCACCATCAGTGCAGACCCATCTGGTGAGTATGGACCCCATGATAGGTGACCGGTCACTTATTTTTTGATCTGGAAGGACATCCACATGGTGTCACCTGGGTCTGAGAGGCTGGGCCCCTCCCCAAATTTGCCAACAGTACCACTGCCATCCCTCATGGTGAGACATGGAGATCAGTTTATCTGCCCAAAGCAAGACTCATGATTCCACAGTCAGTGATCCAATCTCACAGAGATGATGACCCCAGAAATATGGCAACAACTTCTGCTGAAACTGCTACCCATACCCTGCCAGGCCCCACAAATGGACTTTATCACCATCCATATCTGGAATCACTGGACCTGGCAGTGAATGCAGAGTTCCACTTTCTGACATGTCAGATCTGTGAGGTTGCATTGGCAACAGAAGAAGTCAGAAGCCATCTAACCAGAGTACATGGCAGGCCACATGCCTACAATGATGGTCAGTTCCAGTTGGCTATCAAATCATTGGCAACAGTGGCAGGACTGCCTGCCACCATCACTGGACCTAGGTCACTGGTCCATGGTCTGAAAGTCCACAATGGCCTGGCATGCAATCACTGCCCTTTCTTGTCAAGGTCAGAGGAACGGTTGCGGAAACATCACTCCAAAGACCACCCTACCATTCCCAGGCCCAGAGCTTGGAGAGCCTGCCAGATTCAACATCTGAAGGAGTCATCTGGAGACCTGCAAGTATTTTGGGAGGTGGAAAATGCAGGAGTGGACACTCAACAGACACTGCAAGAGGACCTAGTCAACTCTTTTCTCAAAGAACTTGAGCCCATGCTAGAAGTGATCCAAACACCACTGGATGGTCGCATGGTAAATCCCTGGCTGTTGACAACAAGATGGCATGAGCATGTTGCTGGCCAAAACATCAGACAACTGTGCAGCCTGGTTTCCTTGCCCAAAGCCAAGGATGGGGACATTCCTGCAGAACTGAGGGATGCTGTGGATGCATACTATCAACAGGCCCTCTCTCTCCTAAATTGCACAGAAGAGCTGGTCCTCCAAAGATTGAACTCCCCTGACCCAACCAAAAGGTAAGCCAGACAAGCACTCAGAAAATAGGCAACCGGTTGCTTATTTTCAACCATCCCACCAGTGGCATCTCCAATACCCCCTTGCACAAGCACTTACATCAGGCAACCATGAAGCAATATACTGTGCCAGTGGTGGCTCTACTGGCCATGCTCATCAGACAAGAATACAGTGGAAAGCCATTCTCTGGATCCAACTCCAAGTTGATGGAGTTGCTTGCAGTGCTTTGCATTTATACAGCCCCTGGGGGAATTATAATTACAAACTCCTGACCATAATTTGGGGGAAATAATGCTGGGAGTCGATAGATATGTCCATTGGGATGTCTCAGGTGAAATTTGAATGAAATTGGCAGTCAGAAAAACAATCTACAGGGGGTAGAAGGATGGTCAGACCACAAAGTGGTATCTCTTTGGAAATACTTCTGGGAGGCTGGAAATCATTTCCATTGTCTTCAGTGGCATTGATAACACCCAGGACATCCATCCCTGGCAAGCTGGCACCCCCTCCTGATGTTACTGGATCGCCATCCCTGGGGTATGAGGAGGGGATCAGGTATGTCGATGAAACAAATATGGGGACCTTTGTAACACAATTCTGATGGTCTTGTAATGTCATACCCATGGGGTAGACATGATTCAGATAGCTAGATCAACCTCTGAAATTGTTTTGATGGAGTGAACATGGGGAGGGCAGGGTAACATATCTTACATGGATATTCTGACACCTAGAAATGCTGCAACCATTGTCATCATCCATTGTGACTTTCAGGCCCTCCAGGACAACCATTCCTGACAAGCTTTCATGCTTGCTAAACTTTACAGGATTAGCACCCCCAGGATAAGAGGAGGGGAATGACACATAGGGTCCTTTCTGGTGTGATCCAAATGGTCCTGCCATGTCATTCAAGTGGCACAGACATGGTATGGACAGCTGGATTGATCTGGAATTGTTTTGATGGAGCAAAGCTGAAGAGGGGGGTTCACATTTGGGCCAGGTATCATCCCAAGATGCCAAACATGTTGCTACCTGATCAGACTACACTAGGCAACACTGGGATTCAGTTCCACAGGAATGGGAACCACAATCTATATCAACAAAGGTCTGGTTCAGAGTCCAACTCTGAATGGCATCTTCCAAAGATGTTGGCTCTGGTTTTCCCTCTGAACCTCTCAGCCAAGTTGCATCCAACTGGATCCAAAGCTGACAGGTAAACAGAATGAAAAGTTTCCCAACCACTGGCCCCAGACTGGACAGTTGGGCCAACCACTTCCAGTCCTGCATGATCAACCAAGGCTGCAGTTGGATGGTCCTTGACAATTTGGCCCATGTCAGTCTGCTGCCAATGGGAAATTGTTTGCAAACACCAGCAAACATCGAGCCAGCACCATGGCCTCTGTCCAAATTGACTGTGACAGCCTGTCACTCATTTTGGAGCAGATGGAACATCATTTGCAGCCTCTGGTAGGTCAATCGACTTTCATGTAATCCAAATAAATTACATCAGATATTCTATCAGTGTGCCCACCTGACCACCCCTGCTGAGACCATGCTGCACCACTTGAAATGGTGTTCATACCATGGAAACCTCTTCCCCTGCTCTCAGGTTGATAGGTACAGGTCCATACAATATGGGGAATGACAGACAACACAGATGAACACCAGCAAACATCAACCCCTTACCAAAGCCCCTATCCAGACCATGTCCAAATGCTGGGAGACCCTGGGACCTGGTTCAAGCACATTGATCATCATTCCCAGATTCCTGTATGTCTATATTACTGCATGTATTACAATGAAATAGAGAATCTACATCAGATAGTATACCAGTATGCCCACTGGACCACCCTGCCTCGGAGCATGCTGGCCCACTTGGAATGGTGTTCGTCCATACAGGCCCACTTGCATGGGTCTTGTAGTACCATGTCCTGGTCCGTCCACCATGACAAACACTGATGAACATGGGCAAACATTTGTGAACATAGGTCCAGCATGGATGGCCCTGAGTAAACATACTGGAGGACTTGTTTACTTGTTTGGAATGCATTAATCAGCTTTTCCAGACTCCCCTAGGTCGATTGCATGTCTGGTAATACAAATAAAATACATCAGATAACATATCAATGTTCCTGTCTGACCACTCTCCCTCATGGCATGCTGGACCATTTGAAGTGGTGTTTGTCCCTCCTAGATCAATTGCAATTGACCTTGCTAGGACATTTACAGGTCCATACAGCCAGACGAACACCAATGAACACCAACGAACATCACTCCAGAAGCAATGCCCCTGTCCACATTGACTGGGACACCCTGGGACTTGTGTGGAATGCATTAATCACTTTTCCCAGACTCTCCTAGGTCTATTGCATGTCTGGTAATACAACCAAAATACATCTTATAACATTCTGATGTTCCCATCTGACCACTCCCCCTTGGAGCATGCTGGGCTGCTTGACATGGTGTTCATCCCCCCTAGCTCAATTGCAATTGACCTGTTCTGAACATGTCTAGGTCTGTACAGCAGGGCAAACACCAACACACACCGAAGAACACTGTTCCAGAACCAAAGCCCCTGTCCACATTGACTGGGACACCCTGTGACTTGTTTAGAGTGTGCTAACCATCTTTGCCTGACTCTCCTATGTCAATTGCATGTCTTGTAATACAACCTACATACATGATATAACATACCAATGATCCTGTCTGACCACTCCCCATCATGGCACGCTGGACCCTTGAAGTGGTGTTTGTCCCCCCTAGGACCACCAAAGTCGACCTAATTTGGACATCCACAGGTCCATACAGCAGGACAAACACTGACGAACACTGATGAACACCAATGAACATTGATCCAGAACCGAAGCCCCTGTCCACATTGACTGGGACACCCTGAGACCTGTTTCCAGTGCACTAACCATCTTTCCCTGACTCTCCTATGTCTATTGCATGTCTGGTAATACAACTACAATCCATCTTATAACATACCAATGTTCCCATCTGACCACTCCTCCTCAGAGCATGCTGGACCCCTTGAAGTGCATCAACTGAGTGCACAGAGTGCATCGACTGAGTGCACAGAGTGCACCACAAGTTGGCACCACATCATTGATACATGGGGAACTGGATGAACAGAATTCATCACTGTCTCCCTCTGTACCCATACCCTTGCCTTCCCCTTGCCATCCCTCTGCTTCCCTCTATGAGGTGGCCTTGCCTCTTCTTGCTGGAGGCTTTCGAGCATTCTTTGCCTTTGATGACTTCTTAGTCTGTGCCTCTTTCAGCCTCTGCCTTTCTAAGATGAGGGCCTTGCTAGCCAGCAGTTTGTCATATCCTGCATGCTCCAGGAGCTCCATCTGCAGTGCATTCCTGGGCTTTACCACTCGAGATGCTCGTCTCCTGGCCTGTT